AGAGAGAGAGAGAGAGAGAGAGAGAAGGAGAGAGAGAAGAAGAAAAGAAAAGAAAGAAAAGAAGAAAGAAAGAAAGAAAGAAAAAGAAAGAAAGAAAGAAAGAAAGAAAGAAAGAAAGAAAGAAAGAAAGAAAGAGAGAGAGAGAGAGAGAGAGAGAGAGAGAGAGAGAGAGAGAGAGAGACTGATTGACTGAGGGATGAAATGGAGGGAGGATGGGAAGGGCAGTTCATATCGACCCATTGTTTGCTCACCACATGTGGCCCAAAGTCAGGCATTAGGCTTACTTTAGTGGCAGCTCTCAAGTGTGTCTCTCTTGCAGGCCGGGCGGCACACAAACACTCATATGGTGCGAAGACTCCTGGTCTTTTATCTCTTTCTCTGCATAAGCATTTTTGTGTTTCTGACAATTTCCCCAAGTCTATAATAGTCATTTGATATGCTGTATCTAGATAATACACTGTCATCTTTTTAAGTAGTCCATGACTCAGTGCAATAATAATGTATGTCTGTCAACCCAGCCTTTAGCCAAAATTTTCCTTGACAACATGGTCACCTAGCCTTAAGCAGGCTGTCGTGATGAACTTGACAAACATTTTCAAAATATTTTGAAAATTGCAAAAAAAAAAAAAAAAAAAATCTTGGATTCTAGTAGGCTTTGGCATTCTCGTGATGTAGTATTTCTGTTAAATATGTAAAAATAAGAGTAATGACAAAATCTCTACCCCCCCCCTCCAGCTCCGTGCAAATATACTCGACAATATTTATCTTATCTTATTTATTTATTTATTTATTTTGGGATTCTCTGTTAGCTAGCTGGCAATTCTGCTTACGGCACAGCTGACAGCCATGACAAAGAGACAAGGCAGGCAGTCACCATGAGAGAGCCAGAGCGAGAGGTTGCGCGTCCCATGCCTCAGAGCGACACCATCCCTGATGCGCCCTCATCACACAGTAATAGGACACTACTAATGATAAATGTTATTCCTGTAACTAATAAATATAATATGATGAGAAATACATCTCAATCACAGCTGCAACAGTTGTTTCTTCTTATGAAATGCCTCATGAAGCACTGCAAAGCCTATGGTGACATGCAGTACTTCTACAATCATGTGCACTCTTTGTCATTAGTACCTTGCAAAAGGGGGGCATGCATTCTATGGCATGTGAATGCCCCAGAATGCATCAAGATTGACGCAGAGATCAGATTTCTAAAAAGAAAAAGTATCCTCCACTTCAAAGCCTGATATCTCAAAACTAAACCTTTGTCCACATTATTTTGTGTCACTCCATAACTACTTGGCCCATTCTAATGGGGTTTGGAACATTTGAAAGCTGAATAAGTAAGATTTTTTCAATGAGTAGATTTTCATTTCAGGTGATAAAAGTCCATATATCATATTTTATATCTTTAAAAATGAACGAACCCCTCCCCCCCCTCCAATAAACTAAGGAGAAATATCAATAATATAGGTATTGCTATAGAGTCTATGTGGTATTTTTTCCAAAAAGTTTAGTCAATGGATTGTGATTTTTTTTTTTTTTTTTTTTTTTTTTTTGATTTTTCAAAATCTTGTATTTTCTAGTAACTTCATTGCTTATTATCCAAATGATATGAAACCTGCTGGTGTAAATTGTAGTATATGAATATATTACAGATTAAAAATCGCAAAAATCCCATCACAATTAACAAATTTCGTTCTCGAATGCGACAGCCCTCTTAAACTATATTTCTTCAAGACGTGATGGTCACATCACCCAGGATCCAACGGGTTTAAGAACATCAGGAACTACTGGAGAGTTCTTACCAGCTGCTGGGCCTGAGGTAGGTTGACTGGCATTGGGCTGTGGTTGGTTATTGGTTGGAGCACTACTTTGGTTGCTCTGATTTTGCTGCCCACCATAGTACTGTGAATAGTAGGCTGCCCATGCAGCTGCATTTGCATCTGCTGCTTGTTTTGCTGTAGAAATAAAATCTTGTTTAAATACTTAAGCAATATATCAGTACACACTTACCACGATACAACAGTATTTTCTTTACAGATCTGGACTTTGTAAGGGAATACATACTAGGATCATTCGGATGGCCCTGGTTCCATTGCTGGTAGGCATTGCCCCAGCCCTGTGGTGCAAGATTGCTGTTGCCATTCTGGCCAGGTCCTCCACCGGCCTAAAGAGAAACAAAAATCTTCATTGATAGGAATAATCTCAAAGATTTCTATATTTCAGACTATGATCAAATAGCAAAGTAAAATATTTCATGATCTGCCTTATCAAACTTACAAGTCAAATATGGTAAATTAAATTCTGTAAGTTTGATTACAAGCAAGTCAAAGGTAATTCTCATTTTGTGTCAGCTCTTCACAAAAACTAAAAAAAAAAAAAAAAAAAAAAATCCAGTGTTTATGTCATAAAAATGGAATAGAAAAAACAAAATTTACACCTGAACACAGCCAACTGCCACTACAAACATTTATAAACTTTCATACCATAATCAAAAATATTTGATTATATATATATATATATATATATATATATATATATACATATGTATATATATATACATATGTATATATAT